ATGATTTAATACGTAAACCTAATTATTTGAAAACTGATTGAGATTATTTAAAAATTAATTTTACTATTATTCATCCTTTTTCACAAACCATATATAACTTTTATCTGAAATGACTTTTCATATCTTTCATATTTTTCAAAATATTTGCATAGGCAAATAAATAGGACGTTTAAAAAATTGGACACACGCATGCACGCACACACGCACACACACACATACACGCACACACGCACGCACACACGCACGCACGCACGCACACACGCACGCGCACACACACACACACACACACACACACACACACACACACACACACACACACACACATACTGTGAACCATAATAAATCATATTTCCCTAGATTTATTCACTTTCCAACACATAAATGTGCAACTGATTTTATTAAAGAATACAAAATTAAAAACTCATATGACTATTTCAACAATCAATATGCGGCATCATCATCTCATCGCCAGAATGCATGAGGAAAAGGCATGCGTCACATCACAATCAGCTTCTACAGTGCGGAAAGGAGTCGCAGGACAATGTTGAGAGGCTGTTGTCAGAACGGACAAAAGCGCTTATCTTTTTGCATACGCTATATGTAACAGCCTGGTTTGCCATGTCTCTCTCCGCCCGTGCTGCGCATCCGAGAATATATGCTAAATGCGAGCGTATGTTCCCGTTTCAAAGGACATAACCGAAAGTTATCAATGGTAATTGTGATATCAAAGCAAATATAATACACCACTGTGTGTCAAAATAAAAGGAAAATACGTTATAAGTAAGCTAAAATTGAAGAAGAATAATTATTTTTATTATATCTGTATAAAAAGGGCAAAAATAAATCAAATTTTGATAAAAAAATAGATATGATTACAACAAAAAAATATTAAACTTAATGATCATTATAAATTCATTATGAAAAAGACACTCATTTGTGTAATAGAGATTATTATAATTATTGTATTATTTATACAGTAGCTAATTTCAAAGAATTATGTAAAATAATTTTAAAAATAAAAAGACGAAGGCGCTATCGTGAATTGATATTTTAAATATCGAATAATATAGTACAAGTATATTATCGATTAAAATAAAGATTAATAAACAATATAGCAGAAATCATTGTTAGTAATTCTCAATATATTTTGTTATATGTATAACATACTATATGTATATTATATGTATAACATACTATACGATTTATCACAAACGAAATATTCTTTTTTAAAATTATTGTTTGAATATATATGTATAAGATACAGCTATATTCGATCCTTTTATCTTTAAATATATTTAGACAGGTTTTCTCGATAGCAAGAGAAAGCTTTCGCAAGATCGTACGATAATCGTCGGAATATGCCAAACGTCTTTGTTGCAGATTGTACGGGGCTTTCCTCGATGATGGTGATGAGGGTCGTGGAAGGATTTCAGGACTGAGTATATTGAATTTCTGAAAAGCGCGTCGAGTTTCAAGCGGATGATATGCGCCGCGGGCTCGATTATGCCGAAGCAAGTTAGGCGAAGGGATCCGCCATACCTTCAGGCGCGTTTCTGCAACGTATGATGGCAAACATCTTGTAAGGCATGATACTACCTGAATAAAATTCTTTCTTAATTATAAAATATGCATTTAAGAATCAAATAACGAAATACATTTGAGTGTTCCTCTTCGCACGTGATTATAATGAGCTTTGAATATGTTAATCAAAATAAGATATAATATTTATTTTTTTTGTAAGTACATATATAATATGTTAAAGAAATAAATATACCTATCCTTCGGAATGAAATCAGTTTTTTATGTTTTTCAAGTATTAATACTTCAATTAATATTTCAAGTATTAAGGTATTCAAAAAGAATAAAAAATTTTTTAAACAAACGTTTCAAAGGCACTGTATAAAAGAATATTTGATTTTTCTGAAAATATTTTGTATTCTTCATTATATCTTTTTATCATTAATGATTTTAAAATTTCATTTTATGAATGATTTCAATAAGTTCTTCACTTCACAAACTTTCAGTGATAGGATTTTGATAAAGCGGTGGATATTTATATAGAGAAAATCGTTTTCTCGGATTAATCGAATGATTGACCATGCTTTAATTCGATTGTGGTAAAAGTAGCGCCCATGAAGCGCTGAGTAATTGAAAGCGTCACCGGAATTAACCTCGTGAATTTTGTCTAATTAGTTAGATTTCGTGACAGTCATATCTTTCTTACAAGCTTGAGTTATTTGACGGCCGTGCGGACAGCGCGAATGGATTACTAAAAATACAATTTTTCATTATCAAATCAAATATAAATTTTGATTGATTCAAAGAATATAATTATCTTAAGGATATTTAGTAATGAATTTCATAATGATATAAATTCAGTATTAGATTCGATTGAAATATTAATGCTGCAATAAAGTGTAAGAAATTTGCATGTCAAAAAAATAAAAAAAAATACATATGATTACATATGATTACAAAGAAAATATATTTTGCGCTGTAGAAGAATATACCTACGCTTCGTCTCCGCATTTCTCTAATGAATTCGGCTTACTACTTGAAATCTTAATTTGAATGTACACAGTTCCAGAGCTTTGCTAATAATAAAGCTCTCTCTCTCTCTCTCTCTCTCTCTCTCTCTCTCTCTCTCTCTCGGTCAAATTTGAGTATTTCGTTGCAAACACGGAGAGAGCGGCACGGGCGTGGCGGAGCGTAATGAACGAGTCACGACATCAACGAATCCACTTTGTGTACCGGACAACGTTTAAACGTTGTCTAAAATAGAAAGTGCCTCTATACTATAAATGTTCTTAGAACGCAGAAAGTTATAATCTTTAATCGAATGAGTATTATAAATAAAATAAAATTAACTAAGAAAGATTAAATAATTTTTCACATAATGTAACAACAATTAATTTTATAAAAATATTTAGTATTATATATAATATAAACGTTTTTTATATTAATTCTATTATGAAAAAATTCTATTTATATGGCGCGAGAAAATAATCGTAAATGTTTTTTATTTATTTCAATAATAATTTTAACGAAAATTTATGTACGATGCATCAAAAACTGACAGATGTAAGACTTCGCGAGGGTGACGGGCTTTTCACGAAAAGCTCGCGAGAGGCTTAGACTCGAGCTTTCTTGATCAATACTCGACACGCGCTCGGCGTCGACTACGCGGCGTTAATTTATCGTCACTCTCTTGCGCGGGCAAACGTCGTATATTTTCGCACTTTCTTCATCCATATTTCATTCGATAAAAAATAATCCATACGATCAGCAATCCGGTAAACTTTCGCGACGCACGCCTCGCACGTGTCATGAATTACATGATACGCAAAGTTCAACCCTGACAAAGCTTCTTAAATTTTTTTTCTCGCAACGATTTGATTTATTATCGATTTTGTGAAAACTCGACAGTAGTTTGATACAATAATAGAAATTTAAAAGCAACATTATTTTTAAACATGTTATATTACAGCAGATTATGTTCTATTCTCTTATTATTACTACATAATATTAATACAAATTTATTATTACATCAATTATTGTTATTATCATGCATATACATACATATACACATATAATGATAATAATAATTGTTATGATAATAAATTGATACTATCCGAATAAAAAAATAATGCTTTGATTATAATATCATTCTATACATAATATTCTTGAGACTTCCATGGATTATCTCTTTCATTTCTATCCGTTTCTATCCGTTAAAATGGATTTAGACACAAAGATAACTCGCGAAACGCATAATTTCTGTATCATTATACATGGAGAGATCGGGACTAAGCTGGCATTTGAGTGGCAAATTTTGAGTGGCAAAAATATATATTATAAGTTCCCAATTTATATTGTAGATGATTTCGTGTTTTCTTTACCAACGAAGTTTGGTTAGTTTAGGCACTGCGTTATTATGTTTAGGCAGTCAAACGTGTTTTTGAAAGTCAAAGTAATTTTTGAGATTTCATTTTTCGAATCACATCATTTTTTGTGTATCCATTATATGGATAAAATGAAACTGCAAATACTAAAATTTTTATTGCCATCTTATAGTTTTATAATTACTCTATAAAACTAATAATTATTTGACTAAAATCGTTTACTTTGTTATTGAAAATGCAATTGACAAGGATGCCCACTTAGGCCCGGTCTCCCCTACATATTAAAATATTATAAATTCATGAAACGATTTATCAAGAATAAAATTTTAATTAATTATTGATGTTTTCCAATCATGTCTAAAAATAAAAATAAAATTAGAAGATCTTACCTGTCATGTTCGTGATCAATCCTTCCATAAGAAGGATTAATCCTGCGAGCGTATAGGGATGCGCCGCCCTCAGACATGTATCCGTCGCATAGATCCGAAAGGGTTCTACTACCAACACTCATGCCACCTCCGCGCAGCACTTCACCGTCGCTCAGATAACCAGAAGCGACGTCAACGTCGGCGTAATCGTGGTGACCACCAACATGATGATGCGACGATGAATGCAGAACGGTGTATTGTCGTGCCGTAGTACGGCTCGGTAGAGTTTGTAAGCCTCGGGCCCCAGGCGTGTACCCGCGCAGAAGAGGTTGCATAGGTTTTACAGTCATCTCGGCTTCATCATCTGCTAGAGCACCACCGCACGTCGAATTTTCCGAAAGCACCTTCAAAACGAAAACCAAAAATGAAAGACGTACTTAAATAATTTTATATTTTTTATTTTAATTTTCATATCTATCAAACTTTAAATTTAATTTTACTTTGATTTTAAATAGTCTATGACATATCTTAAATTTATATCTTAAATTTGACTTAGTTTACTTATAATTAATCATTTTTATGTTGGAGAAGATAATTAACAAAACAGCGAAAAAGAAAAAAAAACATTTAAAAAATTTTAGAATTATCTAGACTAAGGAAATAATTTTAAAAATCTAGGATTTAAAAAAATAATCTAAAATTTAAGAAAATAATAATTATAAATCAAGAATCTATCAAGTTTCTTTCAAAGGATTTTTTAAATCTTTTCTTTGACGTATTTATGATTAAACACATATTACACGAACAATTTTATAAATATTTGCATAGATATTATTATAATTATAATATATCTTGCGGTTTTATTTGATAGCCATCAAGAAAAATTCCGAAACTGACCTTTTCCATTTGTTCAAATGTAGTGTCGATCTTCCGGTTAGGGATCGTCTTAATTTCGCTACCGCTCTCACTGCTTGGCCTATAAATCACACTACTATCGCTCGAATTACTCTGCCCGGTGCTGTTAGAATTGCTATGTGAACTGTCGGACATAAGATCCGAAATACTCGGCATCGGTGACACCATCGCTACTGTATTAGGATCGAGTTTGCGATGAAGAGTATCGCCGCTCTTCGGTTTTGTCGGCGTTGGCATTCCGCTGAGCGTGCCATTGTCTTTCGATGGTTTCGATGTACCTTTCACAAGAGCAGTAGGTTTCGGGATGCTGGAACCCGGACTAAGTCCGGCTGGGTTCGGACCATGAAGAGGACTATTCGAACTTGTTAACGGTTTACTAGATCCAAAGTTCAGATTGCTTTGTGTGGATATACTCGTTAGTCTGTCTTCAGTATTAGTTAACTTTTCATCAGCTACTGAGTTAACACAATTAATTGTCATAGAATCTTGTTTATCGTTATTGGAAATTTCGATAGATTCTATTTCTTCCTCACAAATAACCTTCTCTTGACTTGATACTCGAGTCTTCGATGAATCAAAACTTTCCATCTCCGATTGCTGTTCGGGATTAACTTCTAACATTTCTGGTTCTTTTTGTTTTGCCGTAAGATCCTTACCGTCTGATAGGTTTGCCTGATTCATGCTTAGAGTACGATTAAAAGTATCGTTCTCATGAACAAGAGTCTCCCCTGTTTCGGATGGTTTAATAATACCGTTGGTATTTGCCAGAATAGCTTTCTGCATCATAAAATCTTTGTTCAGACCATTCGGCGGTGGTTTCACACTTTGTAAATAAATTTTTGGATCCGATATCTTGCCTGGAAGCTCCATTTTGGGTCGGGGTGAAAGTTTCGTTGTCGTAAGTTCGTTCCTCAAGTTCACGTTTTTGGTATCTTGAAGATTAATTTGTCTAGGTGGCGTTAGGACGGAAGGATTTGGTTTAGGAGGTTGCACTACCGGTTGCTTTACCAGTTCCTGAAGAGTCGATGTTTTCCTATCACTTGATAATTTGGTGCTGATAGCTTTACTAGCAATTTTAACATCTTGCTCTACAACTGGATTATTATAGAGTGTTGTTAGTTTCTCCGAGGAGCTTGGCGGACCTTTGCTCGTGCGCGCAATCTTACTCTGAGCCTTGCTTTGCTCCTTTCTGCCTGTTTTTGGACTGGCCTGCTTTGCTGGTTTAGCTGATTGCAGTTTTGATTTCAACGCACGACTTTTTGGCGATTCCTGAACTTGGGTCTTACTTTGATCGCACAAGGAAGTTGAACTGTCTGAATGTTCAGATCGAGCTGAAGAAAATCCGGAAGAACTGGAAGTACGTTTTGAAACTCCCGATGAAGTCTTTCCTCGTTCTTGATTTTTATCTTTATTATTGAAAAGTTTAAATTTATCCAGTACTGAATTCTTATTTGGCTGAGGTGCTGGGACAGTATTTCCAGAATACGGTAAGGCTTGTTGTTGGGTCCTCAAACCTCCATTGGGTCGGCCTACTGTGGATGCTCGAGGACTGCAAATTACAAAAATTCAAATTAGAAACAGAAAAAATATCTAAAAAGTTTTTTAATTATTTAAAAATTATTTATCTAAATATAGATCACAAATGTTTTTCTAACTAAACATAATATTAAATAATAGTTAAATAATATTTAAAATTATATATAATATTTCCAGCAATAAATTACATTTTCTGCAATTAGTAGGTACAAATGTATTTGAAAAAAAAAAAAAAATCTTAATTTTCTTTATTACATTAATTTTTATTCTCTAATAATTAATTTTTAATTTCTCCAAATAATAAAATTTAATGACAATTAATAACCGCACAATGTATGATCACAATGTATTTATCTTTTTAATTTTACCTTGGCGTAGTGGCTGTGGGTTGTCGATTCGGATTCTGACTTCTAGGTTGCGGAATGAATGAAAGACCACCCTGAGATGGTTGTTGTTGACTCGGACTAGTGCTTCTAGAACTGCTCGCGCTACCCACGCCACCATTCCCGTGTTTTAGACCACCTAAAACAAAGAATAGGGAATTATTATTAATTAATCAGAATAATATTTTGCTATTTACATGTATTTTTTATTAAAAAAAGAAAAAATTATATTCCATATATATATTTTATAGTATTCATATGACCATAATATATTTGTTATATAGTATTCGTCCCTGCGTCGTCCAGATTTGCCCGGAGTCGCGTCACTTGATATTTAACTAGATACAGAGATCTAAAAATAATTCTGTTACCATCAAAATAATTATCTAGAATTAACTTAAGCATAATGATAGTAATGCAAAAAGTTTTAACATTTTAGCAACCAATTTGAATATTCTATGGTAATAATTCTGATGGTTCAACAAAATTAGTTTCAAATTTGTATCTAGCTATAAATTTTTAGATATTTCAACAAAATCATTCTTTTCGTGTAATATATTTGCAAAATACAATGCAAGTTCAGTGAAAAGAATATCCGAAATAGTTTCCTTAATTTTATAAATAATAAAATTTAATGTAATTATTATTATTATTAAACATATTAGTACTTTTATTAAAAAATTCATCTAAATGACTTAATGATAGAAGTTAATTATATTCTAATGTAAAACAATCTGTTCTTATGTTCATTTCTCCTATTAAGTGTAATGAAGCAAAAGAGTTGAATTATGGCTATTTTTTTTTTATAATTACAAAACATATTGTTATTTGAGTAGGTATACCAATAAGACGATAATAATTGGCCGCGTCATTAAATGCGCACAGTCGCGCGGCTGTTGCAGCCCACTCGCTGCATATGCGTTCGAATGGTGCAATGTACGGTACAGCTCACCGTAGACAAAATAAACCATTCGTGTTTACCGAGAGCGAGAAGATTAATCCACTACCTCATACTACCACCCGATTCGCTTCTCTCGGGTAATCGTAGACGTTGTTTCTGTCAAATAATCCGCGTCGGTACGCAATTTGTTGAGCGAGCGATATCTCGAAACGTAAATACCAGTTATTAATTATGGAGACTATATATGAGCTAGTGAATTTAATAAAGATTAGCGATTTTAAATCTGAATAATTTAATCTTCGAAGAAACATTTAAAATGAATTTTAAAATAATATCTTAACAACGATAAATTGTGTAATTTTGTAAAATTATTATATAATGGAAATAACTTTAATTATTCTAATTATACGAAAATTTTTTTAATTTGCTTTTGTTTGATTTATTTTCTATATAAAAATTATTTTTGTTACAAATACATTTACAAAAATAGAAATAATAAAAAAAGATTGAATTTTTCAATTCCTTGATGATTTTTCGTTTCGAGATTGTATGCGTTGACAACAGCATTCGCTTTTCTTGATTGACCCTCTCGACAGTGATTTGCAGTAGTTACAAGTACCTAATTCGTCAACCATCTCAATTGTCCTTGCGTACGTGACACAAATGTGGTTGACACGGATAAAAGTGCTTGGCGAAGCAGAAATTTTTTGATATGACCAACACAACCTTTTATCGCGTTTTGATGCGACTATATCTCGTTTAATTAATTTAATGCACATTGCGAATTAGTTCTAATTGTAGCAGAAGAAAAATTCTTCTTTAGTCTATTATATATATGCCAAATTTAAATTATTATATATATATTTAACTATAAATTATTAAGTCTCGATAAAAATTAATTTGAAGATTCATTTTCATATTTAAAAAAAAATTGTTTCGGAATAAAGCCGGATTCAGTCATTTATATACAGAATTAAACAAAGACATCTATTTAATCCACGTCAGCGAATAAAAATCAAATCTGTGTTCAAAGCAGCTCTATCGAAAATCGCCAGTCATGGGGTGTCGTAATGAATTCGATTCTTTTTTTTTATCTAGTACACAAAGGAGGAGGAAAAGAGATATAGTTTAGGGGAGTTAAAACGTGACTAGGCATTCACTCGTCTGTCACAAGAATGATTCATCATCGTGAAGCGATCGATCTGTCACGATATTAGTGATAGCCGTGCACTGAAAATTTCCGAGGTAGAATCAGAGACGAATGTTCTTTTTAATTATACAATACTAATATTTTGTCTAATAGAAAAATATATTCAAGAAGATTTGGAATTGAAAAATAATGCTATGAATTTCTTTATGAAAAGATAATAAACAGAAATACTTAAAAATAAATAATAAAAATAGAAATAATTATAAAAGAAAGAGATTATATTTATATAAAGAATTCTTTACAAAAGGATTTTGATTGAAATGTTATACATATAAATAAAGGATTTTTTTTTGAAAATTTTAATTGATAGAACGTTTAATATGAGGAAATTTTCATAAATTTCTTATTAAAAAAATATCCTACCGCCAAAGGCCTCCTTGCGATATATTCAAGATTTCAAACAGATAAATCTTGATCTCTTGAACATCCTGAATAAAAATAGGAATTTTGTCTGTAGAGAATTTCTTACGAGAGGATCAATGATCGTGACTGCACTCATTCACTCACTTCACTGAGACTAACGTTTAGCGCTCACGCGTCCCCTCTGTTATTCTCTCATTGTTCCTTCCGTCCGAGATAAGACAATATCAGCCTACATAAAAACGTAAAGGGACGATCGATTTCCATAATCGATAGGCTATTGAGCATCAGCCATTATCAATTGTTTGCTACTAATTGTGACAATACCGTAAGAACATAAAGCACTCTAAAATTATCTCTAAAAATTATCTCTAAAAATTATCTCTAATAATTTTACGATACGTACGACATTCAATAAAATCATAAAAATTGTGATAAAATTTAGATATTTTTGTAAACACTTTATAAGTCTAATCTCTTATAAATACATAAATAATTCTTTAAAAGTTAAAGAAAATTTTGAGAATTACAATTTTACAATTTTATCTATTTTTATAAAATTCCGAGTAATGATATAATAACAGAATTCTAAAACTTTTTTTTTTATAACATTCTATAAAGCAAATTACTGTTAATTAACTATAACTATCATTCAAGTAGAACGCTTTAAAAATAATTTTTAACTTCCAAGAACAATACAATTCAGAATATAATATCAGTGCTTGAAATTACGCTGTTCAAAACTAACAATAAGTAATATAAGTATGTTGCAGTTGGCGTCCTTTCGCAGTCACTCGCGCGCGTAAACTCGTACTTACATTTTATACGAGCTCATATACTTCCACTATAGCCTTCTCGGGACCTTCTAGCCCCTTTGTTTCAAGAGTGCTTCGGAATATAAGAGAATCGCTACAACGTGGCACCAACGTGGAACATAGGGGCATTCGTTTCACGGTGCACGGGTGCACTTACACACATATGCGTGCATTAGGAGCGCGATTGACAGACCAAGATGATTACCTACAGCAGCGATAAGCCCTAAACTTATCATTATATATATATATATATACTATATTATATATGTAATATATTTGTGAGCGTGTGTATCGTACTAATATTATTATATCTTATTATTATATTTAATTTGTAAAATTATACTATATATTTATTCTCTTTCATATTTCAATTTTCAACTAGAATATAATTGTGTAAATTCGCCGCTTCGATTTTGCTCTCAACTTTGTAAAAATTTTAGAATCGATTGTAGTTCGTCCCTTCTAGAAATCTCTTTTCGCCCTCAATATAATTTACGAAATGTGTCTCGGGCCTTATCTGGACCATAACTTGAGACGCGCGGAAGTGAAACGGAACGTGATATTGCGTGTCGAGAATTTATTTGTGAGTATACGTACAAACTGTTCTCGTAGATGTGAAGCTAAGAGAACGTTTATAGCGCATAAGCGTGATAAACGCGATCTACCCTTGAGCGACTCTTTCAGATTGTCGAACATTTATATATTTTTTTTTTTTGATATCGAGTGCTACTTCGATCCCCTTTTCATTTATCGTGGCCAGGATTCTTCTTTTTGCAAACGCAAGAGATAAAGATAATGCAAATGCATGCGCTTCGTAACAGAATAATCAATGTGATAAGGCAAATGGATGTAAAACCGTTTAGAGCAATTAAAATGAAAGATATGTTACTCGATCAATTCAAAACCTTTTAGTTTTCAAAATCTTCTATTACATTTGAAAATAATATAGAAACAAAAAATGGAGGAGTAAAAATAATAATATTTTTAAAAAATTGCATATAATATGTAGCTATTTAAAAAGTTTTTTCTCTTTCTCAATATGTAATCGCGCGGTAAGAGCTCATGCTTGCATCAGCGTATATATTAGGTGTAGTAAAAAGAAATCCGTTATTTTTCCATTCAATTTCATGTAAAAATAATGGATTTCTTTTTACTATAATAATAATATATAATAATTTTATTATAATAAAATATATATATATATTGGGTTGTCCGGAAAGTTCGTGCCGACTAAAATTTTAGTATACATTTATTAAATTAAAATTTTCTGCGTTTCAATTTTCCTTCAACATCGGCACGAATTTTCCGAACAACCCAATATATATATCTCTATGTAAAAATATACATCAATAGATATCTAATAATTACCGATCATTATCATCACTTAATTCTTTCATCATTGTAATCTTTCTTGTTCTTCTCTTTTTCCTTTTTATATTAAATAAAATAAAATAAAGAGTCAAAATTATCTTTAAAGATAAATTGAAGTAAAGAAATCGAAAAATAGGAGTGATTAGATATGCAATTTGAGTTTAAGTTACATCTTGGCCCTGAAAAGGCTATTATCGAAGATTAGAAGAACCCTTAGAAGCTTCCTCGATGACTAAGCCTGAACTTTTTCGAGGAAAGTTCTGATATCGACTAGCTGTCAAATCAGCTCGACAACTAGCACGTGTCATCCGCACATCGTATTCCGCCTTTTACTCGGGCTTCCAAGTTCCAGGCCGATTAGCAGTCGATGCATCGCATGGGGATTCCTTTATCTCGATTAGAAGATTAGACAGAGATTAGATTATGACGATTAGAGATTGAACGTAACGCAGCCGTGAAACGAAAAACGACGTTTGGATTTG